TTTAGTAAAACAGAATAATCTCTTAGTTATTACAACCAAGCATGCACAAAAACTAATAAGTTCTAACCAGTGCTGAAAGTGTAACGACCGACCGCTCAAAGTCAAATTACTTAAAATGTAGGAGGACTATAAATAAAAGATTCTTCCAGTTTTCAGAGAATATCTAGTTTTGAATTTGAATAATAGAGTTCACTCGTGCAAAGAAACCTTTAAAATGCTAGCACCAGGGTGAAACACAATATTTTGTTAGCTGTTACAAATAGGCGTGCACAAAATGTAATAGATTACCGTACAACAAGTACCGAAAGGGTAACGACCGACCAGACATATTACGGGAAAATGTAAAAGGACTGAGAAAATGAAAAATATGTGCTTCCAGCTACTTTTAGAGCATACCTAGCTTTGAATAGAGTTTACCCGTGCCAATCAGCGTATAAAATGCTAGTACCACTGGTAAAACACAATACTATATTAGATGTTACAACTAAGCATGCTCAAAAAGAAGTAGATTATGACCAGTACTGAAAGAGTAACGACCGACCAGACATATTACTGGAAAATGTAAAAGGACTGAGAACAAAAGGTGCTTGCCAGCCTTTAGAGCATATCCAGCTTCAAACAGAGTTCACTCGTACAAAAATGCACATAAAACGCTAGCATCTTTGTTAAAATAGAATAATGCGTTACGTACTTTAACTAAGAATGCACAAAAACTAGTAGATTATGACCAGTACTGAAAGTGTAACGATAGACCACACAAATTACAGAAAAATGGAGGAGGACTAAGAAATAAAGATGCTTCCAGCTTTTAGAGCATATCTAGCTTTGAATAGAGGTCACTCGTGCAAAGAAGCCCATAAAACGCTAGCACCTTTGGTAAAAGAGAATAGTGTTAGTTACCTCAACTAATCATGCACAAAAACCAATAGTTTATAACTAGTACTAAAAGTGTAACGACCGACCACTCAAATCACTTAATATGTAGGAGGACTATGAAAAGAAAATTCTTCCGGTTTTTCAAATTCGGTAACTTTTGAATAGAGTTCACCAGTGCAAAGAAGCCTTTAAATGCTCTCACCAAGGTAAAACACAATATTATATTAGCATTCGCTGTTACAAGGCGTCGGTGGCCTAGTGGTTAGGCTCTCGGACTCGCAACCGTAAGGTCGTGGGTTCGAATCCCGTCAGGGGCCCGACGTTGTGTCCTTGGGAAAGGCACTTTACACGAATTTTCCTCACTTCACCCAGGTGGGAATGGGTACCCAGCTATAGACAGCGAAAGATCTTGTCAGTTTGTTAGTGTTTGAGCGCTTAATCGGCTGCTCGCACTGTATGCTTCCCGGGAAGCTGAGAATGTTTCGGAGTGTTCTATGGTCTGCTGGGGTAATAATATAGTGTAAAGCGCATAGAGCCTGCTGCTGAGCGGGGATATGCGCTATACAAATGATATCTGTTATTATTATTATTACAACTAGGCATGCACAAAACCTAGTAGATTATGACCAGTAGGGAAAGTGTAACGACCGACCAGACAAATTAATAAATAATGGAGGACAGAGAAATAAAGATGCTTCCCAGCTTTTAGAGTATATCTTGCATTAAATAGGCTGACATGGAGACACATGGTTGTTGTCACGTTCCAATTATGGGCTAATTGGAAGAAAACGCGCCAACTTTTGAGAAGGGTGCCCTCTGGAAAACACCTTTAACGGTGAGTACTAGATCTAGTCTTTTTTTTTAGAATGAAAAAACAAGCGTTGTCGATTCTTTAGATATTCAGGTACCCCAGAAATGGGCAAAACTAAAAATCGAATTTTTGACCCAAGCATCGTGTTTTGCAGACCAGTGACATGACTACAGCATTAACCTTTTCGCTTCGTGCGGATTTCACTATGCGCATTACCTAAGAACGCCATTATTTTATGTACGCTATTCCCTGGAAACGCACGATTTTGGGCGTGTTTTCAAAGAAATGAATCGCCATTGTTTTAAATCATAGACGTTTATTTCTGGTGTCAAAGTAAAGTTTAAATCTTTGTCAACACAGACATAATTTTTTGACCATATTCACTTTCTTTGACCAAAGTTGTCAACAGCACAAACGAGTGTATGAAGCTGAAAAAAAAAGTTTTCAAAACAAATTTTACACCCCGATACACACACTAAACAGTTCAAGGGTGCTTTTCAATGATCATAACGCCTGTTCAGACAGGCGTGATCTATAATAAATATAATTTAACTAAAATTATCTGAAAATTCAACTGAACGAGTGAAAAATGTGCTGTTGTGAGCAGATTTATGAACAGCTCAATATCTTCAAGCATTGATTGAGTCAGCTCCTTTCCTGCTCTCTGATCTTTTTCTGTCGTCTGCTTTCGTCTCCACTTTTTGCTCTGTCCTCCACCTTACCCCTTTGCCTCCTCCTTTGGACTCCCGACTCTTTCTGTTGCCTTTCTACTGCTTATCTTCTGCTCCCTCTTACTGTTGTCTTTGAGCCGCACCCATGATATCAAGGTAGGTACGATCGAACACCAAGCCCTCTCGGTTAAGGAAGAAAAATTTCGGAGGTCCCGTGTGCAGGTTGCGCACGCTAAACTAGTTAAAGGTCCATTGGTGGTCCCAAAATCGATAAGAGCAGGCTTCGACCGCTGCCCAGGCAAGATTCAAAATTAATTCCTACCAAACTGAAAATGTGTCCGGCGCGCCCATGTGACCTTATGCAGTTGCGAACGCCGTAAAACACTTGTAAAAAAACCCAACAAAAAACAACAACAAACAAACAGACAAACAACAACAAAGGAAGAAAGAAACTCAATTAACTCAGTGTTTCGATAAAGTGAAAAACGAAAAGGCGTTTGTCTTCTCTTTGAAACCGGCCTTATGTTCCTTGAAGTTCCAATGTTTTCTCTCTCTCGCTCTCCTAAAATGTAATTGTAGAAGTTTTACGCCCCCACCGACATTATTTAGATCATTGAGGAGGCGGGGCTTCCGACCATGCGTGTCAGGGACAATGCGGGTTGAGAGAAATCCAACATTCCACTTTCCAGCAGAAAGACATGGGTACTCGGTAGAAATTTTCTCGCTGTACCACAAATGTCTGCTCTTTCTCTTAACCTCTGTTTCTGTCCCTCTCTACCTCTATCGAACTGTCTCTCTCTACTTGTCTTCTGTCTGTCTCTCCTGGCATTAGTGGTGTTATGGTCAGACTCTTTGCTATGGCACGTTTAGATACGAGTTAGATTCCTGAATGTTGATCCACCTGAACACAATTTGCCAACGTTTTCTTTTTCAGTCAAAATCGATAGTTATTGTTTTTCTGTGTTCTTTCAAACATTTCTATGGGCTTGTCAATCCTGTTTTTCTTGTATTTTCCAGACATCTGTGTTTTCTTTGGTATAGCTTCCCTCTAACCACTCAACCAAACATAAGCCCCATGAAGATATTCAAATCACAACTGAAATTTTCAGAATGGGAAAATTTAGAATCTCTGAAGGGTTTTCTTCGCTTAACAAAAGATTAACATTTTTTTTCAATTTCAAGAATAGACCAACTTGACGTAGATCTAGCAAAATTTCTCGAGTGAGAGATCGATATGAGGCCGGTGACTCTTTTTCAAAAGTGGCATCATCTAACTTACAGTTACACTTACGGATTATCGTTGATTCGTCTTTTGAAATAGTACATCACTATTACTAAAGAACAGACGTACCCTGATTTTTTTTTCTCGCAAACTTCAGTACCTTTGAATCCTTCATAGGTGGGTTTATCCTCTTCAGATAAACTCTGAATGGGGAATGGCCTTTGAAATACACCATGGTTTCACCAATACAAAGTCCTGCTTTGGTTTTTACAGGTTTAAAAAAACTTTCTTTTGTAGATACGGGATAAATTAAATGGATTCATCTTTAAAATGTTAAGACAAAGCTCCCCGTAGTGCACTGGTGCTGTGTTGTTTGAAAAATGAGAAGCGAGAACTGTCAAGAACCGTTTTCTTTACTTGTACATCATTATTCAGCAGGAAGATAAGTGCAAACCAGGGCTTCAAGGTCAATGAGCCCCTGTAGTTGTAGTTGGCTTAGTGCTACGTTGACCTTGGAAAATCATTAGAGTTCAGAATTTAAAAGTGCCTAGGCCAGGAGCAAGGCAAACATTAGGTTGACACGGTGTTGGAAAACTTCTGCCATTCTGTGGAGTAGGGAACAGCTTAGGCTAGTGAGAGAATTAAAAAAAATTATATACCTCCCCTGGCTATGACACTCTGGGGAAGAAGACTATCCATAGCTATATTACGAATTTTTAAGCCAGATTACTAACTTTTTATTAGTTGATTACTGAAACATAAGCTGGTGGCGGGTGGGCAGCCCTGCCCATGCAAAAATTCAAAATAATTAATAATTCCTACCAAACTACACTGTAATAATATTGTTTAATGTGTCCTGCTCGCTCAAATGACCGTAACCAGTTGCAAGCTGTAACACGTAATCTTCTGATGACCTATTATTAGTGTTGCAAGTGCTGAAAAACTCTTACTAAAACTCAACCATTCTGTTCTTTCTGGAGAAAGTGACAGTGTAAACTGGCTTTGCCTCCTTGTGTTTAGCGAGGAAGTTGAGGGAGAGAAGCAGCATTTTAGTTGAATTCTAAAAGCAAAGCGGCAAGATGATGGATGGCGACTGGTAGGATAACAAGCGTAAGTTAAGGACAAGGTTTTTTAGCTTTAGTAGACGTTTTACGGCGCTCACAACTGCATAAGTTCATAAGAGAGCCAGAAGATTAGAGGTGTTACAAGAGAGTTACAAACATAAAAAAGAAGAAGGGGGAGATAAGGACGATAGATGTTTCATTGGAAAGAAGAAGCAAACCACACCAGTGCACCCGCCAACCACCCACAAGGACAAGGTTGCCCACATCCAAGGGGAACAAAAAAATAGAATTTCGTTGAAGGTGAAAAGTGCAGCAGTTCTTTCTACACATGACACAACAAATCCAAGTACAAATTATAAAAATTTCTCAATATTTATTTACAAGTGATATTTACATCACACCGAGACCATACTTCGTACAACCACACATCTAAAACCAGCTAAATTCTCATATTTCATAAACTCAGAATGTTTTCTCTCTCTCTCTCTCTCCCTCTCTCTCTCACATACACACACACTGACATGCTTGGTAAGAATGTTCACTTCTTAAACTTGTTCGTACAACCATGCATATTCTTCTCATATTTCAGAAACTCAGAATGTTCTCTCTCTCTCTTTCTCTCACACACACTAACACTGATACGTTTAGTAAGGGTTTTCACTTCTTAAACTTGTTCGTACAACCATGCATATTCTCATATTTCAGAAACTCAGAATGTTCTCTCCCTCCCCCTCTCTCTCTCTCACACACACACACATACACTGATAAGTTCAGTCAGGGTTTCACTTCTTAAACTTGTTGGACGGTCTGTCAAACACTTGCTTCATGCCCCCTCCCTTGGCCGTGTGGAATTTGAGGTTCTGTGCCGTGTCCTGCATCCAGGGCGCCTCGTACTGTGTGGTGTCTTGGTCCAGAAGGTGAGTGTACTTTGTGCGTCCTGACCGGCCAAAGTTCTTAACCTGCACAAACGACACAAACCAGAACATGAGACCGTTTTCACATTAACCAAACCGTAACATGAGACTGAGACCGTTTCCACATTAACACACACTTTACTTTCATTCGACCGTTATTCAGATCCCCACCCGTTCTCAAAACTTATATTAGAAAAAAACAACCCCAACAACAATCAAATGCTAAAAACATTCAACCAGTTCCACACCCACCATTATCCTCCCTTTTTTTTGCCCCAATTCAGAAAAAAAGGAACTTAAAAAGCAACCCCCAATTTAAAAAAAAAATGATGATGATGATGATGATGACAAGTGGCAACTTGCAAATCATCAGCCAATTTTTCAGATTCACAAGCCCAACATTTTGAAATTCTTTTTTTTTTTTTTTGTTTCAATTTCTCAGTCTGTCTGTGGTTTCAGTTGCATGTGCTCAAGACAAAATATTCTGAAGAAATTCAAATGATGAATGTTGAAAAAAGCAAAGAACGATGCATAATGTGGGTGCAATTTTTAATGAAAGTTGTTTTACTCTCATGAAAAACGCAGCTGAACAGCCTGCAGACGAAATACCTGTAGATGTCATTGTCACTGCAAACCCAAAATATACCAAAATCTGCTGTAACGGCGACCTGTTAAAGACAATAAACTGTACAAATGACCATCCCCCCCCCCCTTACCCCATGTCTTTTTCAAATAGATTTCAATTATACCATCCAAGACTAAGATATTCATTTTTCTAAGACAACCACTTTTTTACTTGACACTGGACAATCTCCTGTCCTACAGTCCTACTATACGAACCAAATCTTTGGGAATTGCTTTTATCCTGAGAAATTTGATATCTGTGAGGCAGCGTGGTGGAATCAGGCTCCCGTCAAAATAATCAAAGTGAAGAAACTTGCATTTTTCCGCAGGTTTGTGAATTTTTATCAAATTTTTGTTTTTGGGCTCAACACCTTTCATGCCCATTAAAGAACTCATTTCTGTGTGGATTTTCCTGGAAAACGCTAATTAAAGGCACAAAAAATGGAAATTTTCAGTTTCACGGACTCTTAAGCTATGGAAATAACTAATCTTTGACGGCTATTTTCTCACTAACTTTTCCTCTGAAAACAGGTGACCCCCTCCTCCTTCATAAACAAATATCTCGACTTGTATTCAAGACAAATTGATATTTTTTTCATTCAAATATAGGCAAGTATTCAAGGTAAATTGATATTTTTTTCATTCAAATGTAGACAAAAAGTGAACAAGATTTAAGATGATACCAATAACTCTACATGCACAAAAATTGACGAGAGCCTGATTCCACCACGCTGCATCACACTTTATTCAATCCCATCAGGCAAACAAAATGTTATAACATTTTCAAATTTGCTCCAGTTGACCTTCGGGCAACTTTCCAAAAGACAAACACCTGCAGAGTAAATAAGTGGTGTCCAAAACCCTCCAGCTCCTCAGTATAGGTGAAGGGGTGGAGTCTAACTGCATCACTTTCTGTAAAATAATTTTGCTAATATATACAGCAAAACCGTGACAGGACAAGACGGGGCACTTTACCTGCATAACTTTCGGCAAAATGGTTTTGTCAAAGTGATCCTCGAGGGTGGGCTGAGAGAAGTCCTGTTTGTACACCGTGTCCTCCTCATTCTGAAACATTACAACAACAACAAAAAATATTTATAAAAAAATACACTTGCTGGCATTTTTCATACATTAACTCATTCAGTGCTACAGACGAGAATACTCGCGAAACCGGGGCCCAGATCACATACTAGCGACGGGTATTCTCGCATTCTGCTTCGCTATCTTTATGGAAAGAATTACTCTATCTAATCCATACCCAAGTTATCATAACCAATCATGATGCATTATGGGAAAGGTCAAGGAGACATTTTTTCTGCCCCAACAGCCATTGAGCCCGCTAGTTTCCATTGATTTTCCTGGGCAGACCTAATTTCATGTTTCCGTAACAAAAGTGCGAAGTATATACAAGGGGAGTTCACTACTGGAGCTCTCAGCATTGAACGAGTTGGTAAATCATTGAAAAAGAATCTGATTCAATGGCAATTTACATTGACTGTAACCCGTAACTTTCACAGCAAATGGGAATAACTCCTCAACGACTGAGATAGTCCAAGAACAACAGTGAATATCTCCTACCGATCTTAAAGGACCGTCAAGATGAAAAAGGAAAATCTCAGAGTCCTACAGCTCTCCTAAAGTCTAAAAACATGGAATGTCTCCTGCAGTCTGTTGAAAAAAAGGTATGGGCTTAATGCCTCTGTCAATACTAGTAGATTATTTAAGAGGCAGGAATTCCGAGTTTAATGTCCATCTCCGAAAGGTCAAGCCAAATAGAAATTTCGTGTAAAGTGCCTTTCACAAGGACACAACGTTGGACTGAGCTGAAGCTTGAACCATGAACCTGCAACCTCACGATTGTGAGTCCAGTAGCCTAACCACCTATGCCACTTGCAGTCTACTGATAACATAGAATATTTTTACCTATGTGAAAGGCCACAACTTGCCATTATCCCTTCTCACAAAGAGCCACAGCTAAACAATCATCCAATCTCACAATTTATAGCCCCCGTTAAATAGTCATCCAATCTCTCAAAGAGCTACACTAAATGGTTGCTTTTAATCACAAGGGGGCTATCCCGAAAAATGCTATTTTTTCTTTTTATCCAAACAAATTTACACACCAATGAAACCAAACTCCTCCTTTAGGTGGGGCAATGCCCACTTTTGGTGTAGGTCAAGATTTCTGGAAACCCCTGAAATCTGGGTTAGCCCGCGATCAAGTAATCATTGTATCTCACAAAGAGCCACCTCTAATCACAATTTTTGCTTCTCTTAGTGTAGGACTCCACCACACGCCATTTTGCTAAGAAGGACAGTGGGGATCAAGCGGTACAATTGACTCACAAATGCTCAACTGTGGGAAAGAAGCCAAAGACCAATAAAGGAAGACATACAGGTGAAGAAATGGAAATGGATTGGGCACATCCTGAGGAGACCCCCGACAAGCATCATCCGACAGGCTTTGACGTGGAATCCACAAGGAAAACGTAAGAAAGGAAGACCAAAGATGACATGGAGGCGAGCGGTACAAGTGGAAATGGAAAAGGCGGGGACATCATCGAAACAGCTAAAAAGGATGCACAGGACAGGCTCCGCTGTAGAAATGTTGTAGATGGCCTACGCTCCACTGGGAGTTAAAAAGGGCAAGAGAGAGAGAGACACGCCGGTATGTAAAGTGTATGAGTCATACTCTGAGCAGTCAATCTAAGTTCCTCACAAAGACCACCACCCGCAATCGCAAAATCAACGGGGGACGAGAACTCACCAGGAAGAAGGCTCCTCTGTGGTAGTACTTCTGCAGGAACTTGTACTTTCCTTTGGGAGCCTTGTTGGTCACCTCTTTCGGGTTCGTCCTGGCCTCCTGCCTACGCTCCTCCTCTGTCATGTTGCGCAGTCTCTCAACTTCCAGTTTATCTTTGTCAAGTCTAGATTTTAAAAAAAAAAAGAAGAGGTACCAAAACTCAATACAAATTAAAGAACTGGTCTGACAATTCAGGGCATTGTATTCAAGGGAAAAGGAAATTGAAGCAGTTTGTAAGATTAGTCTTAATTTCTAATTAGAACACCCTCCCACCAGAAAAAAAAAGAAATATCAGTGACCCAAAAAACCCAACCCAACACCCCTCCCCTCCCCAAAAACAACAACAAAAAAACCAGCGTGGTAGTTCTCCTGCAGGTTCAGTCTTGCAGAGAATCTGGATCAGTCGACGTTCTGTTCAATATACTGTACCCAGAAGACAAACCTTATATAAATCTTTATGAAACTTTCTTAGCTTCCTGGAAAGTATTGGAGCAAGCTGCCATGACACAAGTGCTCTCAACCACTAATATACCGTGAGACCTTCTCCTGTCTCAGCTAGGTAATCACTCAGTATGTAGCATAAACACGGCCTCGCGGGCACTCGCGGCCTTCCGACCGCGTGGTATCGGTGAAATCGGGGTAATTCCGATTGCTGTTTCTTTGCTCTTTCGTTATAAAACACCAAATGCAGTACACCTTGTAAAAGTTCAGCTTTTCCTCGTTACAATGGTGTAAGTTGTTTATATGTCCGATTATTAGGAGCTGGAGAATCGCTGACAAAAGCGAAGCCCCTCGCGGTCAGAATGCGTGGTCGGCCGGTTAAAAAATTGACACGCGTGTATTCAAATGCTTCGCGGAACGAGGGATGACCAAACACCGTCTTTTCATACGCGGAGAACTGTAGAGCTTTAAACGGGCTTTCCCGTGGTATATATTTGGCTTTTGGCGTTTAAATAGAAAGCTTTTAAAAATGCTGTCAAAATGTTTAAAGATCACTTTTTACACAAAATATGTAAAATACCGGCTTAAAAAAGGAATTAATAAAAAGATCAGTTTATTTTCTATTAGAATAAAGTAATCAGCTTGATATTACATTTCATCAATCTTTCCCCGAGACTCGGAAAATATGTGACCCAGCACGCGGGGTACACTACAGTAGTATAGAGCCGACTCGCTCGCCGCGGGAGCTAGTGCGGCGCCGGCCGGGTCAACGCTCGGTGTTTTTGGTCGAAATAACGACAGATCATCGTGTTTGAGGTGATAAAATACTGATTTGTCATGATCTCAGTCTTGAAAATAATTAGGCTCCATATATTTGTTAAAGTGATTGTACTGTTAATGTGGAGATGTTTAGTGCTCTTGGTACTCTTTTATTGTCTGTCAAACATGGGGTGGCAGCCAGTGACTGACTTTATTTTAGTTTAGTAGAGATTTTATGGCGCTCGCAACTGCATAAGGTCATATGAGCGCCTATCACTGACTTTAAGAAATTTGATCAAATTTTAAACAACTACCATTTTCTTACAAATTGACTGAGAGGTTAAAGAATGGTACCAAAATGCTCAGTGGATATAGGCCTTTCAAATGGAACAGATAAATTTGGCATACAGCTACTTTGAAAATTTAGTTTCTGGTACCTGCACTCAGTTCAGCCGCACTCCCACTGTGATGTCAAGACAGCAGGGATGGAAATTTTCCTTAAATTTACGGAAATCTGTAATTTTGATTTGCTCCGTCATTTTCCGTAAGTGTTGCTGTCTTCTCTCTTTCCCTCAAACCACTAAATCGTACACTTCTCAATTGTCCCTATCTCTCTTTCCATCAAGGAAACACATCTTATCTTCTCTGTCCTCCCTTTTTCCCTCATACAAACAAACTGTACACTCTTCTGTCCTTCCTGTCTCTTTTTCCATCAAAGAAACAAATCTTATACTACTTTGTCTTATCCGTTTCACTTTCCCTCAAATAAACAAATCTTGCACTTCTCTGTCCTCTCCTTCCCTGAGACAAACAAATCTTGCACTTCTCTCTGTCTTCTCCTACCCCGTAGACAAACAAACAAATCTTACGCTTCTCTCTGTCTTCTCCTACCCCCTTAGACAAACAAACAAATCTTACGCTTCTCTCTGTCTTCTCCTACCCCTTAGACAAACAAACAAATCTTACGCTTCTCTGTCCTCTCCTTCCCTGAGACAAACAAATCTTGCACTTCTCTCTGTCTTCTCCTACCCCTTAGACAAACAAACAAATCTTGCACTTCTCTGTCCTCTCCTTCCCTGAGACAAAAAAATCTTGCACTTCTCTCTGTCTTCTCCTACCCCTTAGACAAACAAACAAATCTTGCACTTCTCTCTGTCTTCTCCTACCCCTTAGACAAACAAACAAATCTTACGCTTCTCTGTCCTCTCCTTCCCTGAGACAAACAAATCTTGCACTTCTCTCTGTCTTCTCCTACCCCGTAGACAAACAAACAAATCTTACGCTTCTCTCTGTCTTCTCCTACCCCGTAGACAAACGAACGTAGACAAACAAACAAATCTTACGCTTCTCTCTCCTCTCCTTCCCTGAGACAAACAAATCTTGCACTTCTCTCTGTCTTCTCCTAACCCCTTAGACAAACAAACAAATCTTACGCTTCTCTCTGTCTTCTCCTACCCCGTAGACAAACGAACGTAGACAAACAAACAAATCTTACGCTTCTCTCTCCTCTCCTTCCCTGAGACAAACAAATCTTGCACTTCTCTCTGTCTTCTCCTACCCCTTAGACAAACGAACAAATCTTACGCTTCCCTCTGTCTTCTCCTACCCCGTAGACAAACGACCGTAGACAAACAAACAAATCTTGCACTTCTCTGTCTTCTCCTACCCCTGAGACAAACGGACAAATCTTACGCTTCTCTCTGTCTTCTCTAACCCCGTAGACAAACAAACAAATCTTACGCTTCTCTCTGTCTTCTCCTACCCCGTAGACAAACGACCGTAGACAAACAAACAAATCTTACGCTTCTCTCTGTCTTCTCCTACCCCGTAGACAAACGGACAAATCTTACGCTTCTCTCTCCTCTCTGTCTCTTAGACAAACGGACAAATCTTACGCTTCTCTCTCCTCTGTCTCTTAGACAAACGGACAAATCTTACGCTTCTCTCTCCTCTCTGTCTCTTAGACAAACGAACAAATCTTACGCTTCTCTCTGTCTTCTCCTACCCCGTAGACAAACGACCGTAGACAAACGAACAAATCTTATGCTTCTCTCTCCTCTCTGTCTCTTAGACAAACGAACAAATCTTACGCTTCTCTCTGTCTTCTCCTACCCCTGAGACAAACGAACAAATCTTACGCTTCTCTCTGTCTTCTCCTACCCCTGAGACAAACGAACAAATCTTATGCTTCTCTCTGTCCTCTCCTACCCCGTAGACAAACGACCGTAGACAAACGAACAAATCTTACGCTTCTCTCTCCTCTCTGTCTCTTTTGACCCGCTTCAGTTCTCGTAGTTTCCACAACTCATACTCCTCCTCGTCATTCTCGTCGTCTGTTTCCATTTCGTCGCAAGCCTGCTGGAGACTTTTCTCTTCCTCCATCTCTCTCTTCATGTCCTGGTTCGCCATCTACAAAGCCAAGACAAAACATCCGTTCACTCAACCACACCAACAACAAACTGTCCCCGTGGTTTTATACACCCCGCATAATTTAATCATTTTTTGACTAATTTCTGATTATTTTCCTTTCTCATTCTTTGTTAAAATTAACAGAATCGCATAATTTCACATTTTTGGGCCCAGTTTACATAATTTCAGAATTTTTTTTGCATAAAACAACAGGACAGAACAAAAGCCACCTTACCAGACAAGGGTGGCCATCTTTTCAACCTCAGATGACAGCACTAGCATCATTTTGACTGTTTATTTTCACTGTAAGAGCCGTTATCTTCATGACTTTCTTCTTCCATCATAAAAACTGTTATCTTCTTGACTATTTTCTTCAAACATAGATAAGATACATCTTTATTGTCCAGATCCTGGCACATTGGTTTGGTGTTTCACCATGTATAGACACACACACACACACACACACACACACACACACACATACCCATATCCACACACAAGCACGCTTACAGTCACATGCATAATATAAATGAACAGTAGTATAAACAATAATAATCTTAAGTTTGATAGGAACAGAGAAGTCACTTTGACTATTTTCTTCAGTTGTGGGAACAGATATCGTTTTGAACACTTTCCTTTTCTACAGAGTCTGAAATTATTTTGACTACATTCATCTGATACAAGAACCGATATCTTTTAGATTATTTTCTTTTACTGGAAGAACTGATATCGTTCTGACTATTTAATTTTTTTTTTCTACTACCACAACCGATATCACTGGAGATCCCAGAGAGAGCCAGCCAGTACAATATAGAAAGACATACCTTGATGGTCTGTCGTTTCCTCTCCTCCGCCAGTCTCTTGGCTTCCGCCTCCAACTCCTTCGCTTTTTCCTCTTCTCTTTCCTTTTCCTGTACGGTAATTCTGTCCTTCCTAAAAACAAAGAACGGCAATGAGCGCTGGAAAAAGACATTTTTATTCCAGGTGAAAGAGACAGTCGTGATGTCAAGAAGCATGAAAGAGAAAGACAATGTAGAAGAACATAGGGATGGAGCACATAGCAAAATGAAAGAATTCAGGTATATATGAAAAGGGTGTATATTGTGTGTGTATGTGCATGCGTGTGTGTGTGTGTGTGTGTGTGTGTGTGTGTGTGTAGGGGTATGGATAAGTAAGAATAAGACCATTTAGATACCGTATGTAGTGTGTTTCTGTGAGCGCGCGTGCAGGGCTATGGATAAGCAAGAATGAGAAAATTTAGATGTGAAGAG